AGGTGGCTTGCCATTGCCTGCCTCTGCGTGGCAACCTTGGACTTCCTTGGTGGTCTCCCATCCAAGTAATAACCAGGGCCGACCCTGCTTAGCTTCCAAGTTCTGACGAGATCGGGCTAGCCTGGGCCATCTGTGTCAGGGTGTAAAACATTTAGCAGCCCGAAATGATGCTTGGAATACAGTCCTCCGGCTAGAAGTAGACTGTAACAACAACTTTAACAAACCTAATCCCTTCGTTAAAAGCCTGGGTGCCCACACAGAATGTTGGAAAGAAGAGATGTTGGGACCTAGCTATAAAGAGTGTCTAATGTTTTCCAGAAGATATATGTATAAGAAACATGATGGCCTTTCGTCAGACTTTTTGCGGCTGTACGGCTTGGGGTGATCAGTGCTATTTTGTCCTTCACCCTTTTTAATTGTGGAGTGAGACACTTATGTTGTTTACTTTTTTTTTTTCATTAAAGTACAGTATTTTTTAAAAGAAGTGTTCTGGCCCTGCCTTTCCCCGGCAGTAGTGAACGTCTTCAGTTAAGTTCTGAAAATGGTCCGCTACTCTCTTGATCCAGGTAATGGTAAAGGTTTCCCTTGCTCGAAAGCCAGTCGAATCCGACTCTAGGGATGCGGTGCTCATCTCCGTTTCAAAGCCGAAGAGCCAGCGCTGTCCAAAGACATTTCCGTGGTCATGTGGCCAGCATGACTAAACACCAAGGCGCACGGAACGCTGTTACCTTCCCACCGAAGTGGTACCTATTTATCTACTTGCAATTTCTTGCTTTCGAACTGCTAGGTTGGCAGGAGCTGGAACTAGAGATGGGAGCTCACTCCATCATGCGGCACCCAGGTCTCGAACTGCTGAACTACTGACCTTCCACAGCCTGCAGTTCAGCGTCTTAACCACTTGATCCAGAGAACCCCACAAAATCATGCAAGTCAAGGGGCTCCAATCTTCAAGTCCACTTCAAGAATACACATGAGACAGCCCAAGCTATCAAGGGTATGCACATTCGGAAGGCCACAAGTACTTAAAAGATGTGATGAAGAAACAGTGTGTGCCCTTTCGCCGCTACAACGGTGGGGTTGGCAGATGTGCTCAGGCCAAGCAGTGGGGCTGGACACAGGGGCGCTGGCCGAAGAAGAGCGCCGAGTTTCTCCTGCACATGCTTAAGAATGCTGAGAGCAATGCTGAGCTGAAGGGTCTGGATGTGGGTTATCTGGTAATTGAGCACATTCAGGTCAACGAAGCTCCTAAAATGTGCAGGCAAACCTATAGGGCTCACGGTCGCATCAACCCCTATATGAGTTCCCCCTGCCACATTGAGATGATCCTCATAGAGAAGGAGCAAATTGTCCCCAAGCCAGAAGAAGAAGTTGCTCAGAAGAAGAAGATATCCCAAAAGAAACTGAAGAAGCAGAAACTCACGGCTCAGGAATAAAACACTATGTTCATTTCACAAATAAAAATAAAACAAATGGGGGGGGGGAAAGTGTTCTGGCCCAACATTCAAAAGAGGCACCAGGTGAGTCTCAAGGGAGAGGGTATTCCATATGTGAGGGCCACCACTGAAAAAGCCCTGTTCTTGGTTGCCACCACTTCACCTTCACAGGCAGAGGTACAGAGAGCAGAGCTTGTTAAGGCAAGCTTAATTGGTAGGTTGGACAGTACATGAGAAAGCAGTTGTGTTCTGTATTTCCATTATGGTCTAGAATGCAAGAGAAGCCATGTTGGATCAGGCCAATGGCCCATCCAGCCCAACACTCCATGTCACACAGTGACCAAAACTCAGGGGCCATCAGGAGGTCCACCAATGGGGCCAGGACTCCAGAAGCCCTCACACTGTTGGTGTGCCAATTGTTGCTCTCCTCTTAGAACAATTTGGGACAGAAGTTAGAATGTGAAACTTTTCTTACATTTGGCCCATTTCCATGTGTGTAGATAGATGAGAGAGACAGACAGAGAGAGAGAGAGAGAGAGCGCTCAGCCCACTGGTGGTCTCTTTGGGAGTTGACTACCTCCTTTGATTAACTTGTTTCCTCCCCATCTCTTAACCTATTGACCCAGAATATAGATTCAGGTGGGTAGCCATGTTGTTCTGAAGCAGTAGAACAAAGTTTGAGTCCTTTAAGACCAACGAAGTTTAATTCTGGGCAGGGCTCATTTTGTAGAAAAAGCCCAGCAGGAACTCATTAGCATAATAGGCCACACCCAACAGCAAAACTCATTAGCATATTAGGCCACACCCTGACAGCACAGCTCATTAGCACATTAGGCCACACCCCCGTGTTACCAGAAGTGTGGTCATCCAGCCACACCCACCTTTCCCTTCTTATTCTGTTTACCTTGTTTGTTGTCAAAACCCAGGGCCTTTTTTTGTAGCAGGAACTCCTTTGTGTGTTAGGCCACACACCCCTAATGTAGCCAATCCTAATGAGTTTCTGCTTTTGGGTGTGGCCTATTATGCTAATGAGTTCCTGGTGGGCGTGGCCAACTCGGGAGCCAGCCGGAACTCCGTTCCTGTGCGTTCCTGCCCAAAAATAGCCCTGATTCTGGGTATAAGCTTTCCTGCATACGCACACTTCAGAAGTATGCATGCACACGGAAGCTTATACCCAGAATTTAACTTTGTTGTTCTTAGAGGTGCCACTGGACTCAAACTTTGTCCCGGAATAGGAATTCATAACATTGCTTGTAAACGATCTTTTACTTTTGCCAAGGTATTTGTGTTTCAGTTGGTAATCTACTTAAGCATTGGGATTTCAGTGGACTCTATGACTTGTGCAAACAGGTCTTTGTCCAGCCGACTCGTCTTTATGCGCACGCATCACACCTCTACTTCAAATAGCACTGGTGGTTTCTCTGCCACCACATGGCATGCAATCTAGCCATAACCAGTCCTACGAAGAAACCTTATGAATCACCAAATGATAAATGATCCTAGTGGTCATCGGTCCTCGGGAAACGATGCCATGACGATGAATACGTTATGCTCTGTTGGTGGGCTGACTTTGGACTGCTGACTTTGGCCCCGATCCTGAAACTGTTTAGAACTTGTTCACACATTGTGGCAAGCGTCAGCTTAACCTCATGGTAAGGAAACAATGGCTGCATATAGTCCGTTTAATGTTTCTTGAGGCAGCAAATTCGGTGCCCTGAGAGATACTGGAAACATTTAATGGTCTGCAGAGGGACGGGAGGACAGAGCTCGTTTAAATGGCTTTTGCATTCTGCTTTCAAGTCAACTAAATGAGGCCTTTCATGAGGGCAGCCCGACTATGGAACAACCTCCCCAGGGAGTTGCAACTGGAGGCCCTCCCTTTCGATCTTTAGGAGACAGCTAAAGACAGTTTCATTTAGGAGTGCATTTAATTAAAGCAGTCCTGGACTGTGGTTTTAAATCTTGGTTTTATGTTTACTATGTAACCTGTTTTATGTATTTTCTTAATATGGTGAGCCGCCTTGAGCTGTGTTAAGGAAGAGAGAGAGAGAGAGAGAGAGAGAGAGAGATGTAGTGGTTAGGAGTGTAGATGCTAATCTGGGAGAACTGGGTTTAATTCCCCACTCCACGTGCAGCTACTGGTGTGCCATTGGGTCAGTCACAAGTTCTCTCAGAGCTGTTGTCTCAAGGGCAGTCCTCAAAAGAGCTCTCTCGGCCCCACCTACCTCTCCAGGTGTCTGTTGTGGGGAGGGGAATGGAAAGGAGATTGTAAGCCATTCTGAGACTCCTTCGGGTAGTGAAGGGCGGGGTATAAATCCAATCTCCTCCTCCTCCTCCTCCTCTTCTTTTTCTTGATAGGTAGGTAGGTAGGTAGACTGGTATATGATGGGTAAGATTATATAGAAATATCAGTACTTCTATTGCTCTCTCATACACGTGTGTGTACAAACATGTGTCTCATTTGACACAAAGGGCTGAATGAACAAATGCTGTTCATCGGGCAGGGGGGGGGCGAGGCTAAGGCTGAGACTTCATGGAGAAACTAGGTCTTATTTATTTTTTAAAATTCATGTATTCCCCCTCCTTTCTCCCCAACGGGGACTCAAAGCCGCTTACATCATTCTCCTCTCTTCGAGTTTATCCTCACAGCAACCCTGCGAGGTAGGCTAGGCTGAGAGAGTGTAGCCAGCCCAAGGTGACCCAGCCAGCTTCCATGGCACAAACCGGGGTCTCCCAGATACTACTCTGACACTTTTAACCACCACCCCCCACTGGAGTTTTAAGAAAGTGGGCTTTGAAAACACATATAAAATCCTGGACGCCAAAAGTATGGCCAGTAGCAAACCTACCAGAGCTAGCTGAACTCATACAGCTGAGACAGAGACCGATTCCCCACAAGCAGTTGTGCCGCCCTCGCTCTTCCGTTTGCCCCGGCTGCATTGGTCAATTTCGCACTATTCGCTGCGCGACCGCATTTGGACCCGCATCTCCTCCCGATTTCCCCCGCGTCTTCTCGATCCTTGTTTTTTGATATCGAGAAGACGCTGGGGAAATCAGGGGGAGATGCGGGTCCAAATGCAGCCACACAGCGAATAGTGTGAAATTGACCCATGCAACCGGGGCAAGCGGAACAGCGCAATTGTTCTGTGCCTTGGTAGCAAAATAGCTTCCAGGCTTTTGGGGGTGGGCGGAGGAGCAGCAGGGGGTTTCTGTGATGCCTGTTTGAAGGATTTCTAAACCCCACCCTCACCCCCCAGTCCAACACTGGCTTTGCAAATGCGCAGTGTTTCCATTAGAAGAGGCCCTTTACATGTACCGGAGCACGCCTTTGAAAAACTGATCTCCCCGAGATCAGAAGGCACTAGCCTCTCGGAATTTGTCTGGTCCCTCGTAGAACTATAATTTAATAACTGCCTCCTTAGCTCTTGTGGCTAACTCATCCTTTCTTCTTAGGCTGATGCTAAACCCATTAAAACGGATGACTCTGCAGTGTGGCGTGTTGCTTTTTCTCCTGAGTGCATTGATCTTTTTTCTCTCTCCCCCCCCCCCTCTTCTCTCCTTCCTCAGTGTGTCCATTCTGATCTTTAATACTTCTCGGCAGTGCTTTGTTGTGGTGAAGCAGTTCCGGCCAGGTAATCCTTTTCCTTTGCTTTATTTATTTATTTACCCTCCCACGAAGCAAGCCATGATGTGCTTTAGCAGTAACAGGCCGGTGGCCCTATGAATAGTTGTGGCCACCGCTCCCTCTGAGCTGCGGAGTTCTCGTGAGCAAACATTCTACTTTGTGAGCCACTGGCATTAAAGTTGTGAGCGAGCGATTTGGCTGCTGCATAAGTTAGTTTGCTCTGGAGCCCCATCCTTCCCGAGCGGAGACGAAAACCTGTGAGCCGGAGGCTAAAAAACCATGAGCTAGCTCACGCTAACTCAGCTTAGAGGGAACGCTGGTTATGGTGTGATATTTGTTCTGTAGCCAGAGGAAGCTGTGCTCAATCTTCTGGTCAATGGCTGTGCGGCAATGTTTCCTCTAAGCTGTAGAGTCGTGTGAGCAAAAATTGTACTTTGTGAGCGAATGGCATGAAAGTTGTGAGCGAGCGATTTGGCTGCTGCATAAGTTAGTTTGCTCTGGAGCCCTCCTTCCTGAGCTGAGACAAAAATGTGTGAGCTGGAGGCTAAAAAACTGTGAGCCAGCTCACACCAACTCAGCTTAGAGGGAACACTGCTCTGCGGTAGTAAGCTGCCCGACAGGGCAATTCCAGCCTGAGCCCTGTCAGGTTTGCTGACAACTTATGCTTTGTATTCCACCGACAGCTGACGCCATAGAGGATGATTTAGGGAGAGGCCAGAAGAATTGGCTTGGATCCTACCATTCCACAGAGCCTTCCAATGGCCTAAGGTGGCGGACCTAATAGCCCAGACTAGCTGGATCTTGTCGGAGCTCGGAAACTAAGCAGGGTCGGTACTTGGACGGGAGACCACCAAGGAAGAAAGGGGGCTGCTGTGTAGAGGAATGCAACAGCAAACGAGCACTGCTCCTCTTTTGCCGTGGAAAACCCCACGAAGTGGAACTTCATGGGTTCACTGTGCAATTCAGTGGCACTCTTTACCGGCCTTCTTTCGGTGAAAGGGGTCTGCCTCAGGGGAGGGCCCCTTAGGCCAGAGAAACAGTGTTATGACTACAACAACTCTGGGGAGGGGCCGTGGCCCAGAGGGAGAGCATCGGCTTGGCAAGCAGGAAGTTCAAGGTTTTGATATTAACCTTTAAACCCCTAAACCGGGGATGGCCGGACGTGCTTAATGTAAGCGCCCACACAGAGTAAACGTCAGATGTCTGAGAACCGCAAGACAAATGTTGCACACAAGTTTTTATTAACATTAAGTGAGACTGCCAAAAATAAAAACAAAAGGGGTAAAAACAGATATTGATAATGATAATTTATTTGTCGTTTATTTATTTATTTCACCTCCCTCTCTCTCTCTCTCTCTCTCTCTCTCTCTGACACAGAGAGAGAGAGAGAGGTGAAAAGAAAGAATGAAAGAGGTGGAAAGAGAGAACGAGAGAGAAACAAAGGAAGCAAATAGATGGGGAAGTGAGGGAGGGGGAAGGAAGGAAGGAAGGAAGGAAAAGAGAGAGAAAGAGAAAGGAAGGTGGAAAGAACACTGGCTGGGGAAGGAAAGACCGATTGGGGAGGCACGCCTCCCCTTTGCTTCCCCAGCTGCCCTGCCAGGAGCCACACAATATGTGTGTGAAAGAGCCATATGTGACTCCCAAACCACAGTTTGGCCACCCCTGCCCTAAATGGTCCGGGACCAGCATACCTTCGGGACCGCCTCTCCTGGTACATCCCCCAAAGAGCGTTACGCTCTAGTGATAGCCATCTACTGGTGATCCCTGATCCAAAGAGTGTCCGGGTGTCCTCAACCAGAACCGGGGGGGGGGTTGTTTGACCCTAGTTCCAACCTGGTGGAACACTCTGCCGGGCGAGATTTGGGCCCTGCAGGATTTGCTGCAGTTCCACGGGGCCTGCAAGACGGAGTTGTTCCGCCAGTCCGTTGTTGGAGGGACAGCGGTGGCTCTTCCATCTTAGATTGGCCTCCCTTTCGCTTTTCCCTCCCCTTTCCTTCATATCAGGCAGATTTAAGGATATTTATCTCCCTCTCGGGATAAGGAGCACTAGGTTGTGCCCTTTTCTACACCATCTATTAGTTGTTGCTGGTTGTTGTTATTTTATTGTATCATAGAATTGTTTTAAAATTTTAACTGTATGGAATGTTTTATGAATGTTGTTACCTGCTCTGAGCCCTGTTGTACAAGGGAGGGGGGGATATATATTGAAATAAAAATAAGAGGGAGGGAGGGGGGAGGGAGGGAGGGAGAGAAAGAAAGAAAGGAAGAAAGGAAGGAAAGAAAGATCTCAAGTTGAGTCTCTGGAAATCTCCAGGTAAAAGGACCAGATAGTGAGTGATGTGAAAGACTTCTGCCTCTGAGACCTGGAGAGCTGCTGCCAGTCTGAGTAGACAATTCAGACCTAGACGGACCGAGGGTCTGATTCAGTATAAGGCAGCTTCATATGTTCATGTGGCCCCGAATGACTCAAAGAACTTCAGGGTGTGAATCTGGGTTCATATCACCTACTACCTTTTAACTGGAGGTGCCAGGGATTGAACCTGGGACCTTCTGCATGCCAAGCAGATGTTCTACCACTAAGCCAAGGCCCCTCCCCATTCCATGGCCAGTGCTGTGTATCAAGTCTATACAACCTGACTCGCCAAACTAGACCAGAGACTCAAAAAAAAAAACCTTCTGTTTTTTCTGCCTGCTTGGGACTGCCAACATCTGTCTGTCCTAGGGTTCCCAACCTCCAGGTGCAGCTTGGAGACGTCCTAAATTTTACAATTGATCTCCAGACTACAGACATCAGTTCCCTTGGAGAAAATGTCTGCTTTGGAGGCTTGGCCGTATAGCATTATACCCTGCTGAGGTCCTCCCCTCCCCAAATCCTGCCCTCTCCAGGCTCCACCCCCAAAACAACAGGAATTTTCCTTACCCAGAGTTGGCAAACTTCTGTCCCCCTTTTTTCACAACAAGGTTCAACAAGGCACAGTATATCAAGTAAGAACATAAGAACATGAGAGAAGCCAGTGTTGGATCAGGCCGATGGTCCCTCCAGTCCAACACTCTCTCACACAGCGGCCAGAAATACCAGATACCATCATGAGGTCCAGCAATGGGGCCAGGACACTAGAAGCCCTCCCACTGTTGACCCCAAGTAGGGTTACCACCTTTTTTGTCGGCCCCAGCTCCTCGGCCTTAAAAGTGGTCTGACATATAAATTATAGCAGGTGAAGCTTGTTCTGGCTATAAACTCCAGGCGAGTAAAAATTATGAGGTCTCCGGTTGGCCATAGAGGTGCTAGCCTCCAGGTGGGACCTGGAGATCCACCGGAATTATAGCTCATCTTCAGGTGATGAAGATCAGTTCCCTTGGAGAAAATGGACACGAAGAGGAGGAGGAGGAGATTGGATTTATACCCCGCCCTTCACTGCCCAAAGGAGTCTCAGAGTGGCTTACAATCTCCATCCCCTTCCCCTCCCCACTACAGACATCCTGTGAGGTAGGTGGGGCAGAACTTGTGACTGACCCAAGGTCACTCCAGCAGCTGCATGTGGAGGAGTGGGGAAGCAAACCCGGTTCTCCCAGATTAGAGTTCCCGCTCTTAACCACTACACCAAACTGGCTCTCTTTGGAGGGTGGACTGTATGGCATTGTACCCCATTGAGGTCCCTGTCCTCCCCAGGCTCCCATCTCCAAATCTCCAGGAGTTTCTCAGAGTGAATCTGGTAACTCTGCCCCCACATCCCCCACCGGTGACCAGAGGGGAGCTGGCAACCCAAGTTGGCTGCCGTGTGAAACAGAATACTAGACTACATGAGTTCATTGGTCTCATCCAACACTGTTGCTCATGTGTTCTTTTGTTCCCTTTCCTACTTTGTGCTTAATGGCCGGGCCACTAAGAAGGCTACCAGCTTTACAACAAAGCAATGGTGGTCTTTCTTTTAGTAGCTTGCACATCAACATGGACTCAAGCAGCAGCACAGAATCCAGTCCTTTGTGTTTCCTTTGATGGTATCACATGGTCCTACTCCTTAGAGTTTCCTTTGGAAGAGTGTTTACCACGACAACTGTTCCTAGATTAATGCAAAAGGCCCGTTGCGAATTACACTTGGCAGTCTGCACGATGGGATCCTAGATGTTCAAAAGGGGATTCCCCCCCCCCCGACAAACACGCATACTTCTCATAACTCCACCAAAACGGCAGCTGAGTTGACAGGCTGAAAGACTCATCCCTGGGACATGGTACATCATGTACAGTCCAACGTCCGAGCAAGTATCAATGAATCCTGTGAAACATGCCTGTTGGCCGACACACGGAAGTTTTCCTTGAGACACGAGTTGTTCCTCAGGGAAGAAATAGTGTTCAAAGAACCATCTTATAGAAATCTAACTTGCAAAAAGAGTATTTCAGACCATCTTCCATTCTGCTAAATAGCTTTAATGGGTTTTCCTCCACCCATTTTTTTCAAGAGACCGCACATTAGGTGCTCCATCGTTGTCTGAGTGCAGCTATTAATAATTTGCTAGCAAGCCTGATCTCCTCAGATCTGGGAAGCTAAGCAGGGTCGGCCCTGGTTCGTATTTGGATGGGAGACCCCCAAGGAAGTCCAGGGTTGCTGTGCAGAGGCAGGCAATGGCAAATCACTTCTAAACCCCTCTTGCCTTGAATACCCTACGGGTTCACCATACGTCGGTTGTGACTTAGCAGGGATTTCCAAACAGCGGCTCTTTCCACCATCAATTGCATCATCAGTTATCAGAAATTAGACATAGAACAAATTTAGAGTCCAGTGGCACCTTTAAGACCAGGAAAGGTTTATTCAAGGTATGAGCTTTCATGTGCAAGGCACACTTTTTCAAATACATTGGAATGGCAGGTGAGGTTCAAACTTGTATTTATTTATTTAATTCAATTTATACCCCGCCCTCCCCACCAAGGCAGGCTCAGGGCGGCTTATAGAGAGGGATTTAGCAGCGACTTAGCATGTAACATGATGATGGTTATAAGTTATGGAAAGTGAAAAACTAAATAACAAGTTAAGGTTATAAGGTCAGCAGAAATTACATGTGCAAACCTCATTAAAGTGGGTTCCAGTTATTTATATGCAGGCGTCAACGATTCCTTAAAGCCGGGGTGTCGAACTCATTTGTTTTGAGGGCCGGATCTGACATAAATCAGACCTTGTCGGGCCGGGGCAGGTGTGTCATAAAATGTAATGCCAGGTAGCGGAGATATAAACTATAAAGGACACCAACACAAAGGTGGGGATTTTTTCACTTAAAATAAAAACATGTTTAAAACGTTAGCTCTGTAAGCTGCAAACCTACTTTTGATTTATTGACATTCACCATAGAAATCTCATGCTCAGAGTTCTGAGTCTAGGACCCAGGTTAAAACACAAAATGGCTGAGTGATTAAGAGAGCCTGGCAAAGCAAGCTATGATGCAGCAGCAGCAGCAGAACTGGAAGCAGGAGATGGCCAGTTCCACTGCGGGCCTGATGAAAGCCCTATAGGGGCCTGATCTGGCCCCTGGGCCGCATGTTTGACACCCGTGCCTTAAAGCCCTTTGCAATCTTAAAGTACACCAAGGGCTGGTTTGCTGTATGAATTCTGCCACTTGATTCTACAGTGACAATACAGTTCGGAGACAGGAATAGATTATTGTGTGGTTTGCTCGACAGATTACAGCATGGTCATTATACTCACACACTTACTGCATGCTTTACATTTGCTGTAATTTTTTTCCAACTTGAAGACACACAAGCCTTTGGTTATTAGGCTGGGCAAGACCCAATTATGTCTGATCTCCAAAGAGGAGAGATCTGCCCTGACCTCTTTTGACCCAGCGATCAACCAACGAGATTGACATTCATTTTGAGTCGGGACGGAATACGTTGGTGAGAAACTTGCAGTGTCTTAAATCGGCACTTGGACTCATGTGAAAGCTTTGTGAGGTTTCTGTGCCCACGCTGAGCTTGCAAACCGTCAGAGACATTTGTTCATTCCCTTCAGACTCAGAAATGTGCTTTATGCAATCCCCATTTTTCATACAGAACAGAATAGGCCTGTGTCTGATCGCATGCAGCTGTGTTATGCAAAGGGGGGCCGTCCTTTGGACCACTGTGTGCAGTTCTGGTCACTGTATCTCAAGAGGAACGCTGCAGAGTTGGAGAAACGTACAGAAGAAGGCAACCAATGTGATGGGGGGGTTTGTTCTAGAGCACTTTTCCTGTGAGGAAAGTCTGCAGAGACTGGGAATTTTCAGTTTAGAAAAGAAGGGACATGATAGAGGTTTATAAAATTACGTATGGGCTAGAGAGAGTGGACAGTGAGAACTTTTTCTCCCTCTCCCAAAATACCAGAACTCAAGGGCATCCAATGAAGGTGATGGACAGACACAAAGAAATACTTCTTGATACTCAGTGAGTGATTAAAATGTGGAATTCACATCCAGAGGATGTAGTAATGGCCACCGGTATAGATGGCTTTAAAGGGATTAGACAGATTATTGGAGGGTAGATCCATCAGTGTCTAGTAGCCATGAGGACTAAAGGGAACCTCCATGTTCAGAGGCAGTAAGCCTCTGAATCCCAGTGCCAGGAGGCAACATCAGGGGAAGGCCTCCGCCTCTATGCCCTGTTGTTGGCCCTCCATTGTAACTGGATGGCCACTGTGTGAGACCGGATGCTGGACTAGAGGGACCCCTGGTCTGATCCAGCTGGGCTCTTCTTATGTTCTAATGAAGGCCTCAGCCTCTCTGCCCTGTTGTTGGCCCTCCAGAGGAACTGGTTGGCCACTCTGTGAGACGGGATGCTAGGCTAGATGGACCGCTAGATGGACCTTCACTCAATATTGTCTACTCTGATAGCCAGTGGCTCTCCCAAGGTCTCAGGCACAGAAAAGTCTTTCCCAGTAGCTGCTACCATAGATTCTTTGTCTGAGGATGCCAAGGACTGAATGTGGGACTTTTAGCATGCAAACGGCATGCTCTAATACAGCGGTGTCAAACTCATTTGTTACGAGGGCCGGATCTGACATAAATGTCACCTTGTCGGGCCGGGCCATGTGTAAAACATAATGCCAGGTATGGGAGATATAAGCTGTACAAAGGATAGCAGCTGGTATGCTCTGAGTTGGTATGTCCTCCCTGCAAGGCCCCATAGGCTGGGAGGGGGTGCAGAGGAAAACCTACATATGTGGCCTGGAGAGCCAGCCGTGCAGCCCTGGGCAGACGCTCCCACGCTGCTTGACTGCTGCAGATGAGGTTGTTGCGCCGTGCTGATGCCACAGTTAGAGTGGCCATTCCCCCTGAGCCAGCCCCCTGTTCCCTCCTTTGCACTAGTTCTTCTTGGACGGGCCGGTTTCGGCCCCCGGGCCTTGTGTTTGACATCCCTGCTCTAATACTAAGCTGAGGCCCTTCTCCGTGCGTCGTGATGTCAGTAACTAGATATGCTTGCTCATTGCCCGTTTCCAGCTGTCTACATGAGTGAGATGGCTCAGCACTGTCCTCAAGACTTCGAGAGAAACTGCCTGGAGAACTGGTGTCCACTTGAATGTCATCTGCCGGCTTCGGTGGGAGTGACGTACGAGCTCTGCGCCGGCATCGTAGACAAGCCGGAGCTCTCTCTGGAGGAAATCGCTCGCCAGGAAGTCTTGGAGGAGTGTGGCTACGAGGTCCCTCTAGCCAGCCTGCAGAGAATCACGTCGTACCGGTAAGTAGGTCCGGGACTGTCAAGTATTTATTTATTCGTTTATGTTTTGGATTTATGGATCACCCGAATCCCTGAACACACAGGGCTCTGGGCGATGAGCAACGATGAAATACACCATAAAAATTACATCGTTACGTTCCTAAAAACGATCCCCAGGCGGCGTTAATAAATCTTTAACCGGTTCGGAAGAGTTCTCTCAGCCCCACCTACCTCACAAAGTGTCTGTTGTGGGGAGGGGAAGGGAAAAGAGATTGTAAGCCGCTCTGAGACTCCTTCAGGTAGTGAAGGGCGGGGTATAAATCCAATCTCTCTCTCTCTCTCAGAGCCTTCAAAGGTCAACACCAGCACCTTGAATTGGGCCCAGAAACACATCAGGAGCTAGTGTAGATGGGCCAAGACTGGATGGTCCCTGCACCCCATTCCAGGAGGACAATTACCTGTACAGATAATTTTTTCCCAAAAATGTTATTAGCTACCTTACCAAATAATTCATGGACTCAATGTGGCATACAATGAAAATACGAATGCCAGCATATTTAATGTATGGAGCTCTCCTGCACTAAACCAGACCGTCTGCCCAATCCAATGTACCTGAAGAAGTGTGCATGCGGCACAAAAGCTGATACCTGGAATTAAACTTTGTTAGTCTCAAAGGTGCCACTGGAACTCAAACTTGGTTCTGCCCAATCCAGTGTTATCTAGTCAGTCTGGCAGTGGTACTCTAAGATAGAAAAGCCTTTCCGTGCTTGGTTAACTAATGGGAGATCCTGGAAACCAAGCCCAGAGGCCTCCCGTAGGCAAGGAGTAAGATGCATTGAGCCACTTCACTCTGGCCCCTTTTCACTTCCTCAGCAATCAGCAGCCACTGTCAATCCCCAGGTCAAGTCAATCAACAACAACCATAAGGCAAATCAAAGGAAAAGCGGAAGGCGGCGATAGGAGTTTAAACATCATCTGGACACTAAGAAGGAGTCATGGTCTGTCTTCCTCATAGAAGAAGAAGAGGAGGAGATTGGATTTATACTCCGCCCTTCACTACCCGAAGGAGTCTCAGAGTGACTTACAAACTCCTTCCCCTTCCCCTCCCCACAACAGATACCCTGTGAGGCAGGTGGGGCTGAGAGAGCTCTTGACAGAAACTGCTCTTTTTCAAGAACAGCTCTTACCAGAACTACAGCTTGCCCAATGTCATCCAGCCAGGTGCAAGTGGAGGGGTGGGCAATCAAACCCGGTTCTCCCAGATTAGAGTCTGCGCACTTAACCACTACACCAAACTGGCTCATAGAGTTGCCAAGTCCCCCCCCACTGGCAAGTGGAGGGGGCTGGGTGGTAGGGTTGCCAGATCCAGGTTGGGGAACTCCGGGAGATTTGGAGGTGTAACACGGGGAGGACAGGGACCTCAGTGGAGTACAGTGCCCTAGAGTCCACCCTCAAACGCCTCCATTTTCACTGGGGGAACTGATCTCCATATTCTGGAGATGAGGTGTAATTTCGGGGGATCCCCAGGTCCCACCTGGAGGCTGGCATTGCTACTTCCTCACCTGCGACTGTTTAGCTTGTTCAGATGTTACGGTGAACTCACATACATCCTACAAGCATACATCAGTTTGTAACTGCCTCAGTTCTCAAAGACACCCAGGCTCAGACTTTGGCTAGTCTCCAGGGGAAGAGGATGCCCCGGAGAATGCCCACCTGTGCATCTGTTGCCCTAACTGGGCAGATATTTAGGTTTCTGTTAGGCAGTTGAGCTGTCAGTCCCAAATGGGATATGTCAGAAGTGGTTCTTATGACAGGTGGCAGGATCACGAGACAGGCTGCATGAAGGACAGTATATTCAGGCTGATTCTAGCAAATCTCGTTTTAAAAAATCAACCTCAAGACCCAACAACTGAGACTGTCCATAGCAATGCTGGTGTCTGTTAGTTTAATAAAAAAAGCAATGCTGGTGTCTGTTAGTTTAATAAAATTAGGGTTTTTGTTCCACCATCAGTGTCCCATAATTTGGTTAATCAAGCAGACTTGGGGTCCTTTAAAGTTATGCTAGACAGATTTTGGTTGTGACTAACAAATATCCTGTGTCTTGATGCCAAACTTTGTCCCAAGATACAGACTGAAAAATCAACACGATGGGGCCACGTACAGATTTGGGGGGAAGGGATCCCAAGTGAACCGGAAAAAAATGGAACCTTAAAAAAGGGGGAGTTAACACCTCCCACCAGATCATAAAAACTCTGTCTGCACAACTGATACAGCCTCTGTGAGGTTTGCTCAGGGCAATGAATCATGCAGAGATGCGGTGGGCACTCTCCTGTGTGGACATCTTATAGGAGATTTACCTTTTGTAGTACGTCACAGCATACATTTTGGAAATTCCTGGAGTCAATAATTTTGTAGCGCTTGGGGTATTGTATGATGACGTAAAACACACACTCAAGATGCATGTTAGAACACGGTTTATTACCCCGACACTGCTGCTGCAATAACTGACAACTTCACGAGGAATTTATTTTTTAAAAATTGAAATTCAGTCAGAAATAAGAGCAGTAGCCAACTCTGTGTGTGTGTGTGTGTGTGTGTGTGTAGTATGTGTCTAGTATTTGGAATTAAGGAAATGTCAAGAATTAAATAATCTAAAATGAAAATGTGCTCGGAGCCTTCTGCCTTCCCAGATTGCAGGCTTGCGAGACAAGCATCTGTTCTACTACTTGCAAACGCATGCCTCAATGTATAGAGGGGTGGCTGCTTTGAAGCAAAACAAAACTTTCTCAGTCTTTCCTCTTGACAACTCTATTGAGGTGGACACTGAAATGCTTTTTTAAAAAAAAAATTGGGGAGGGGGGCAGAGAGGGAAGTGGGGGGGGGACCCTGGGAATTGAATACAAATCCACAGCTGTCAATCCTGGCAAATGTCGTTTCCTGCTGGATTAATGAGCTTTTGCTAGGGGGAGGGAGGGGAGCGAAACGGAGGAGATGTCTCTAGCTACTCCTTGGAGCCAGATTAGAGAACAGGGTTTGCCAGTTGCAAAGATGCTTTCTTCCCTGTGAAACAAAGGACACAGCCTTAGGCACACTTAAGCCTTATTAAACTCAGTGTGACTTACTTCCGAGGAAGCATCCGTAGGATTGGGGTAAAAAAAATTGTCCGTAGTGCTTTTATGATTGCTATTAGTGGCCTGTCGCAGCTACGGAGACCTTGAAAGAACACAGCATCACATGCTCCCTTTTCCGACTGAAGCAAGTAGGGGAATGTTTGGGAGGAAGGGTGTACCGGGGCCCGCTTACAAACAGAAATACCTTGTCAAAGTTGCAGTTCCAAGGTCAAAATTCAGAATGGCCTTGAGTAATGTGCATTCTGGATTTAAAAAAAAAAAGTGCAGAAAATATACCTGGTGTCTGGATGGAGATGAATCCCAAGCATGGTGGTGGTGGTGGTGGAAGGTGCCGGCTGGAAAGTCACAGCTGACTTGTAGGGTTTTCAAGGCAAGAGACGTTCCAGGGTGGTTGGCCATTGCCCGCCTCTGCATAGCAACCCTGGACCTCCTTGGTGGTCTCCCATCCAAGTACTAGCCAGGGCCGAGCCTGCTTAGCTTCAGAGATGAGATACGGACTGTAAAAAGGACACAAGCAAACCCAACTAACAATATTATTTTTTAAATTCAGAATACAAACATGCTTAAAACATTAACACTCTTGGCAGTATCTCCTTAAAGTACCTCCCTGATGCCCACCCTCCCACTTTCACCACCCCTTACTCACCAGCACTGGGACAATATACAGGGACATAATGCACAGTCTCTGTCATCTGGCAACAAAGGTAATGACCAGTTGCTCGTGGGCCGGATATGAGCCCCGGACGGGCCAGTTCCAGGCCACAGGCCTTATGTTTGGCACCCCTGACACAGACAATTGGAAAGCAAGCATGTGTGCAGGTAACAGATGCTCACATGATCCATGCCTTTGTCAGGGTTGTTAGGTCACACCACACAAGGCTTCATAAGAAGATAAGTGTTTATTGATGGATCCAGAACTAATGATCACGTATACAGCTTGTGTCAGGAATAACCTTCCGTCTGACTTATAGTGAAATCAAACATCCCCCCCCCAATGAACAAAAACCACTGGTTATTGTTCGCACGTGCAGCAAAGCAAGCAAGCGGCAAGCTTAGCAAAAAGAGTAATGCAGCTGGAGACTACAAAGTCAAGCCTGAGATAGCGCCCAGAAGCTGAACAGGGTAGAGCCTGAGAACGAGGAAGAGAAAACCCCTTCCACATTCCAGATCCATGACAGGGCTACCTGACAGCCGGCCACCCAAGGCAAAACCGGGGTGGAGCGGGAGGATCTGCACCAACGCCCCAGCATGAAACCCGGTGGTTGGAGGCTATAATCCTAGTCCTATTAGCTTGCTTATTAGATTTTTCATTCTACTGATTGCACGGACTTAACCTGTGGAACTGCCTTGAGTCTCAGTGAGAAACGTGGACTGTAAATAAAGTAAATTAAAAATAAAATAAAATACATATTAAGGGGCTGCCATAAACTGGCTCTTGGTACTTCCATGAGCTGAGTACAGAACAGAAACCTTTATTGGCATAACATAAGTAAACCAGGCAAGGAGACGTTTAAGGGGTAGTACAAGAACAACATCAACCAATATTCCCGATATTCCAAAATACAAGACAATCCTAACATGATTTACAAGAATTACAGAGTATTACTCTTGATTTCCATACGTAGGTCAAAAATTCAGCGACAGATAGTGTTATTGCTGGGCTCTGGTCTGCTAAAAAAAAAAATTTAAATCCCTGTCCAGAAAATCTCTCTGCGAAGGGAGGAAAGGGCGAATCAGGTTATTGCGCGTAATGGAGTATTTGGGACAGCGGAGAAGGATATGGGTAATAGAGTCAGGTTCCCCAAGATTACAGTTACAAAGTCTATCCCTGTACGGAACACCCCTGTATCTACCCGAGACCACTACTGAGGGGAAAAGGTTAAACCTTGCAAGCATAAAAACCCTCCTAAAAACTGGGGTTATCAGATTAGCGATATATGGTAGCATGGAGGTATGCAAGGGGAGGAGGGGTAATGAATAGGGAGAACAAACTCCAAGACTACCGGCATTAATGGTCTGCGCCTCTATATCCCAAATTCTCCTCCTAACCACCTGTAAGATTGCTGCCTCACCACAGTTATAGAGGGGTTCCAGGTCGATACCTAGTGTACCCACCTTTTTCACTATGGCCTGTGACCACTCTGATGTATAGGAGTATTGTTTGTTTCCTCAACAGCATGGATGCTGTTGCTGGCAACATCGAACAAGGAGGACAACAGCCAAGCCCATGACGGGGGCGGGGGGGCAGGGGGGCGGGACGACACGCTCACTCTCCATTTCAAAGAGGCGTATATTTATTTATTTCAAATGTTTTCAAGACTCCTTTTCTCTCTTGGTTTGTTACCCAGTAAGATGAAACGAAGCGAAACAATCAAATTAATAACAAACAAACAAAAATAAAGCCTGCATATGCAACCCGGTACCCCAAATAAAACCTGAAGCTCGACTGTATCCTGGTAGGGAAACAGAATTTCAGTGCTTCAGAAATCCCCATATGGCCATCCTAAGGCCGAGCACCGACAAATAGATGCTTTCGAATTATGGTGCTGGAGAAGACTCTCGAGAGTCCCCTGGACTGCAAGGAGATCAGATCAGTCAATCCTAAAAGAAATCAATCCTGACTGTTCCCTGGAAGGCCAGATACTGAAGCTGAAGCTCAAATACTCTGGCCACCCAATGAGAAGGGAGCACTCACTGGAGAAGACCCTGATGCTGGGAAAGATTGAAGGTCAAAGAAGACGGGGACGGCAAAGGATGAGATGGTTGGACAGTGTCATCGACTCAACGAACATGAAATTGAGCCAACTTCAGAGGACAGCGGAAGACAGGAGGGCCTGGCGTGATGTGGTCCATGGGGTCGCGAAGAGTCGGACTCGACGGTGCGACTGAACAGCAACCATCCTAAGGAGCTCAGTTTTGCAACCCCTCCAAAATGCCTTAGGGGCTTTCTATCCTGCTCTCGCCCTGACCTGGATAGCCCAGGGTAGCCGGATCTCGTCAAGATCTCGGAAGCTAAGCAATGTCAGCCCTGGTTAGTGCTTGGATGGGAGACCTCCAAGGAATACCAGTGTCATGATGCGGGGCAGGCAATGACAAACCACCTCTGAAGGTCTCTTGCCTTGAAAACCCCACCGGGGTCGCCGTAAGTCAGGTGTGACTCGACAGCACTTTCCACCACCAGCACCCTCCTCTTGAGATGATCACTTCGGAACACGGAGGGGATGTGATCAAGAAATCCCACGGACGAGCTGACATTATTTGCACCCACGTATACAAAGGGAAGGGGCCGCGGTGGCTCAGAGGTTAAGATGCTGAGCTGCAGACTGGAAGGTCAGTAGTTCGGCAGTTCGAGACCCAAGTGCCACGTGACGGAGTGAGCTCCCGTCTCTGGCCCCAGCTCCTGCCAGCCTAGCAGTTCGAAAGCAAGAAATTGCAAGTAGATAAACAGGTACCGCTTCGGTGGGAAGGTGACAGCGTTCCGTGCGCCTCGGCGTCTAGTCATGCCGGCCACATGGCCACGGAAACGTCTTCGGACAGCGCTGGCCCTTCGGCTTGGAAACAGAGATGAGCACCGCCCCCTAGAGTCAGACTCAACTGGCTTTCGAGCGAGGGGAACCTTTACCTTTACCTTTTTATACAAAGGGAAGAGAAGTAATGGATGCTGTGGATCGAGCCAGGGCTGTACCGCCTGACGATTGCTTAGGGATGCCGTTTCTCTCCCCCACCCCACACTGCAGAGGCTCTTCAGAAGCTCTTCAGAAGTCCAGATTTTGCGTCTCACAGGGGGTGCTTCAGTTTCGTAAATGGGGGTGGTGGGTGGGTGGCGGCGGTTGCTTTGATGTTTTCTCACAGTGACAGTATGCTGACTGTACCACATAGACTATAATGCCGTACTCTGCTTGATAGCCTCTGAATAAATACCATTTTAGCCTCACCACAACGTACTTTATAACGAGCGCAATCACCTGCCGGTGCACCTGTCTGCAGATGGTATAATATAATATAATTTTATGTCAATCACTTCTGTTGTGTGTTTCTGCTTCCTTCATCTGCCACTTATAATCTCAGAACTGCATAAAGGGGCAACAGATTTATCCGGGGAACAAACCCTTAATTGCTCATCAGGTCGCCCATTGTATGCGTTGCAAGGATTTGGATCGTAGTACAAAGGACGCCGTGATTTACTGTTTGCTTATAAGCATGGCGTGGTACGTTCTTGATAACGCCGGATTGTACATTCACCTAAATTGCATTTTATTAACAACCGGGATTTTTACCACAGGTTTTCACTTTCAAAGTATAGAATGGTCAACAGTTGCCAGCTTTTATGTGTGGATACCAAACCGTGAACGCTTGTGAGATTGACAAGTGTAATCCTCGGAAAAGTCACACCCTACTACGGCCATTGAAGTCAGCGGCCTTAGAAGGGTGTAACTCTGTTTAGGATTGCACTGTGAAATTGAACCAGTAGAAAATATATAGTTAGATTTGCAGGTCATGGCAGCCCTGTGTCTAATTCCTCCCACCCTTCCCCTTCCATAATACAAGTTAGTGTATGCCCTGCCATCATTACCACACCATGAGCTGATGAGGAAAACACTCAGCATAATGACACAGGAATTCAGTGCAAGATGTACAAAAAGAAAGTTAAAATTTGACACGGGGTTTCCACAGCAGCTCTGTGTCTTTGAAAGGGCAGTTCTGCCTTCTATTGAGTAACTGAGTCATATTCCCCATTTTAATCAGGTAAAGTTTATTTAAAAAAAAAAATCTAAATATCACATTTTCCTCTTTTTCTGTCTTTACCTCCTTTCATCGGAAGATCTGGCGTTGGTGTGGCAGGATCAAAGCAGACCTTGTTTTATGTAGAAGTGACCGACGAGATGAAAACCGGCAAAGGAGGCGGCCAGCCAGAAGAAGGCGAGCTGATTGAAGTCGTGGAAATACCTCTGCGGGACTGGATGAGTTTTGCATTTGACGAGACTTTCCCTAAAACGATGGGCGTCATGTTCTGCTTCATGTGGTTCCAAAACAACATTGCCCCAAAGCTACCGACAAAATCAGAATAGCGTCAAGGTGTACGGGGAGGGGGAGGGGGACAATATAAAAACCAAACCACATACGGGAAACCTGCTTTAAAGAAAATTCTCCAAGACAAGGGGCATTAGGAATCCGATTCCTTTGTTTAAATAAAGAGTTAAAGTCCTTATCACCATTCTGCAGCCTTTGGCATGATCCTCTTGCCAGCAGGACTAATTGTTTCCCTTATTCCGTAGCTGATTGTCTGAGGGTACAGTTTTCCAACATGGAACTCCCTGGAATGAATTGCCACCATTGCACACTAGAAAATTAAGGGCACCCTTCACTTTCACTCGGAAAGGTTTACTTTCAGAGCATCCAGAATAGCCTGCTGTCAGAGGAGTGCCCCCGCCACATTTCTGTCATGAGTTACTGATCTGACCCCACCTCCAGATTGGTAGAAAACCACTCAAAGCAGCCACTTATGCAGAGATACAGCAGGCAGCCTCCCTTGAAGTTAGGGTTGCCAGGTTTGACCTGGCCGCCGGCGGGGGGGCTCCCTCTTTCTTCCATAGAGTTTTTTCTCAAATGATAGAGCGTCCCCCCCACAACGTGCCCTGCGTGATGATGTCACCTCCGGGTGATGTCGTTACACCAGGCATGGGGCTCTTTGGGGGCAGGGTTCCCCCACCGGCCAGCTTGGGGCCGGCAGATTGGGGGGCCCGAAAGCGGGTAAACCTGTGCCCCCATCGGGGAATGGCAACCTTACCTGAAGTCGGTGACTGTGCTGCATCCCTGCATCGGTCATAATCAGACGATCCACTCATGCTCTACGGAGAAAGGCGCTAGAACTGCGCACCTCCAGTCCAAAAAGTGGTGGCTGACTGACCCTCAGGGTATGCTGAGGCCGGCCCCGCCTCTCCCCTTTGGCCTTTACCGACCGACCTTCCTTTTAGCTCTGCTTCCCTCCATAACATGTCTACTCTTCACTTCAGATCGTGAGCCTGCAGGCAGGGCATGTGTTTGCTGTTTGTTTGTTTCTTTTAAAAAATTTTGTACGACACCTACTCCTATCCGGTGCTTCATTAATAATAGCAAGTAATTAAGAATAATTTCACGTTGTTTGCTGCACAGCTCTTTCCCCAGTCCAGTAACTAACAGGATCTAAATAAATTTACGCAGACTGAGCCAGAATATACAGATTTGCTTCATTTGTGCAGCTCGCGGAATCTGACTTCTTTGGGTGCGGAATGTGGACGGCTCTTATTTGAAGCGCCTGGTTTGTCTCCAGCCCCGCCACTGCCGGCGACGCTTTGAGGATACCGAGAACGACATTCTCATGATCCGGACCAACCAAATCCCTTTGCTCTGTCTTATTTCCAAATGAAGTCACTTAGAGCTTCACGCTGGAAGAGGATAATCCAGCCCTTGTAACGCAACCTCCAGCAATGCTGTGAAATGTGCCGTCGTCGTAGACACGGAGTAAAACAGCTGCCCTCTGAAGCGCAGGAAATCCAAAAACTCCCTATCTGAGAAAAGAAGGGAACTAAAGCGCCTCCCTCCCCCTTGGCCGGATCACCACCGCTTTCCACCCTGGCATTAATTACCACAGCAATGTTGTCTGTGTCAGCGGGACCACGTAAAATGCACGTGACGAAGCCACTGATCTCAAGGCATGTGCTGTGTGAGAGGCAGGCGTTCTGCAGCCATGCTGCCGAGTCCAAAAGGCTATGCAGCTGTGGCTGGATTCTGTTGTTAATAGTGCTTCCAGGAAGACCAAGTCCTAGGAGGAAAGGTTGAAGGAGCTGGGTATGTTTAGCCTGGAGAGGAGACGACTGAGGGGGGGGATATGATAACCATCTTCAAGTATCTGAAGGGCTGTCATATATAGAGGATGGAGCGGAGTTGTTTTCTGTTGCCCCAGGAGGTTGGACCAGAACCAACGGGTTGAAATTAAATCAAGAGTTTTCGGCTAAACATTAGGAAGAACTTCCTGACAGAGCTGGCAAGTAGAGCGGTTCCTCAGTGGAACCGGCTTCCTCTGGAGGTGGTGGGCTCTCCTTCTTTGGAGGTTTTCAAACAGAGGCCAGATGGCCATCTGATCAGCAGTGCTGATTCTGTGAACTTAGGCAGGTCACAAGAAGAGAGGGCAGGAAGGGTGGCATCAGTGCTTACTTCTTGTGGCCCTTTCTTACATGCCCAGGGAAATGCTGATCGCCACTTTGGGGTCAGGCAGCCATTTTTCTCCAGGCCGGTTTGGCCAGGGATCCTGGAGGGTTTTTTTGCCATCTTCTGGGCATGGAACAGGGGTCACTGGGGGTGTGGAGGGGGGAGGTATTTGTGAATTTCCTGCATCATGCAGGGGGTTGGACTAAATGACCCTGGAGGTTCCTTCCAACTCTATGATTTTGTGAAGGGCTTCATGCAGGACTGCATCCAAGCCCGCAAGACCAGTGTAGTGAATTGTATTCACACTTCCAAACTGACAAACAATGCTTTCTTCAGCAGCAAAATCCTTATAAAATAGATTCTTCTGCACAGTTACACTCACTGTGTCATGAGCCACTTTAGCTTAGTCATTTCAGAGGGTAGCTGTGTTGGTCTGCAGTAGAAGAGCCAGATTTGAATCCAGTAGAACCCTAGAGATGGACAAGATTTTTGGGGTACAAGCTTTCAAGATTCAAAGTGGAACTTTGACTCTTAGTTTATATCCTGGAAATCTTGTTCTCAGGCCCATAGCTATATGGTGGGGCTTTGGGGGGCTCTGCCCCCTTTCTTAAAGGCAGTTCCACAAGAATTTCTCCTGTAAATGCTTTTTTCAATCATTTTCAACATGATTTAACATGCACTCCTTTAAGCAGGATGAGGTGCTGTAGTTGACTAATTCCCGCACTGAGCAAGGGGGTTGGAGTAGGTGACCTCTAGGTACCCTTCTAACTCTGTGTCAGGAAACTGGTCTCCTTTAAGAGACTTTTTCTGCCTAAGTGTTAGTTTTCTTGACTATAGAAGTCATCGCCCCCACCTGCCAGCTTGATATCAAAATTGCTGCTTAGGCTGGCAGAAGTGATTAACTTGCAGCAGCTGAGAACTGTCAGCCATGGTGGTTGACAGCTTGCAATTTAGAGACCTATCCAAGTAACCGCTTTCTTTAGGCTAAATAGCTTTTCTTTCTGCACTGAGAACTTCAGCCCCACCAGAAAAAAATCTGCCCCCAAAGCCACAAGATCGTGGCTACGGGCCTGCTTGTTAGTCTCAAAGGTTCTCCTGGACCCAAAGTTAGCTGTTTAGCGTAGCAGTTAAGAGGGCAGGTGGGGACCAAGAAGACCCGGTTTCAAATCCCCACTCTGCCACGGAAGCTCACTGGGTGACTTTGGGCCAGTCATTCTTTCCCAGCCAAACTTGCCTCACAGGATTGTGAGGATAAAACAAGGGAGAGGAGCCCGGGGTAACACCCCCTGAGCTCCTCAGCGGAAGGTTGGGGTTAGGTGTACTGAATAAATAAATGTGATCTACAAACTACTGTCCTGGTCTGAACATCTGCAGCCCGAAGCAGTCGGCTTGTTCAAATGAGGGGGGAAAATTCTGGTTCGGTGTAGAGAACCAGTTTGGTGTAGTGGTTAAGAGCACGGACTTTAATCTGGGAGAACCGGGTTTGATTCCCCACGCCTCCACTTGCAGCTGCTGGTGAGACCTTGGGTCAGTCACAAGTTCTCTCGAAGCTCATCTCTCAAGAGCAGTGCTTGAAAGAGCTCTCTCAGCCCCACCTACCTCACAGGGTGTCTGTTGTGAGGAGGGGAAGGGAAAGGAGATTGTAAGCCACTCTGAGACTCCTTTGGGTAGTGAAGGGCGGGGTATCGATCCAATCTCCTCCTCCTCTTCTTCTTCTTCCTCTTCTTCTCCCTTGGAACCCACCAGGTTCAGAGTTTTGCAAGACAGAATTTCTTTTGCTAAATGAAAGGGGGAGGGAGGGGAGAGACAGGGTGCTCACACAAAAGGCTAATCTCTTAACTTTTCTCTGAGATTTTTCTCTTCACTTGCAAAGATTTTTCTTTGGTAGACAGCAGGCGCTCCTGGAGTATTTAAAGGGGAGGGAAAGCAGCGTGGTAGAGCCCAACCTCGTCAGATCTCGGAAGCTAAGCAGGGTCAGTACTTGGAAGGGAGACCTCCAAGGAAGACCCTGCAGAGGGACCCCCTCGGCTTCTCACTTGCCTTGAAAGCTCCTTGCTGGGGTCACTCACCATAAGTCGGCCGCAACTCGACAGCACTTGACTCTCACATATAAAATATTTTAAAATGTCCTCACCACCACTCCTCCCCATACATGCCTGTTCATGGGACTGATGTGGGATTGTGGTTAGGGTGTTAGACCAGATCGGGGAGATCCAGAGTTCGAATCTCCATTCTGCCATGAAGCCTGCTCGGGGACCTTGGGCCTACCTTTGTCCTTCGGCCTAGCTATCCTCACAGGGGAGTGGTAAGCAGAAAAGAGAACCATATGGTTCACTCTTCCGGAGCTTCTTGGAGGAAGATGGAGAGAGGAAAATGAGAAGAAACAGAACTTCCACCCATCCTTAAACTTCCGGACGGCTGAGAAAGAAGGTTGAATCCTAAGGAATCTCAACAGCACGTTGTACGGAGTGTTCTCCCAATCCTTACAAGAGGTAAACTGGGGAATCAATAGAGACAGTGATTTACCAGGGGCTGTTGGGGGAGAACATGGGCAATTCCTGAGGTGTTTTTATTAAACAAAAAGGGGTGGTTTGGAAACACACGCGGAGGGGCTCCATTGTTTGAGCATATACAGATGAATCACGTCGTGTAAAAATACATCCCCGAGATCCTCGCGCGCCGAGTCTCAAATTAGCAGTCTTTTTGGAAAGCGTAATTAGGCCTAATTAGATTTGCATCTGCCAAATCTGGGCAGCCGCCCAACAGTGTTAATGCAATCGGCCACGTCACATCCGTAAACAATGTTCCGCCTAGCCGTTCCGACAGGCTATCGTGCTCCGGAGATGAAAATGTTTCTCATTCGGTGTAGAGGGGGCCAGACCCGTGGGGAACGTTTTCCTGGAGAAGCCACATCAAAATAAAGGCTGCACAAATGGGGGGGAAAGGAACCCAAAATTGAGTGGATTGTGGCCATCTTTTTAAATGCGGTTCTTTCATATCTCCTTTGGTTAAGAGCGTGGTTAAGAGTGTGGACTCTGATTTGGGAGAACCATCTTTGATTCCCCACTTCTCCACATGCAGCTGCTCTTGGGACGTTGGGTCAGTCATAAATTCTGTCAGCTGTTCTCTCAAGGCCAATTGCCCAAAACCCAGAGTGTCGCCATGACACCCCCAACGGGCCTACGTCACTTCCGGGTCATGTTGGAAGTCATGTGGGAATGTTGTTGAAACATTGGATGAAGCGTCCAGCTCCCGCTAAACCCACCCCCATCCCCCACTGGCCACCAGGAGAGACCTGGCAACCCTAGAGCCAGTTTGGTGTAGTGGTTAGGAGCACAGGCTTTAATCTGGGAGAACCGGGTTTGATTCCCCACTCCTCCACATGCAGCTGCTGGTGTGACCTTG